ATTTAACCCCCTTGGGGGCCCATTTGATGCAAAAAATATTTTTTGGGAAAAGGTGACTGGTTTTCCAATGGTGGATTTCCCTATATTTGATACCCCCTAATAAAAAAACTTTATTGGTTCTACCACTCAATTTCCCGGGAACCTCTCACAAGAAAGGCCCTTCACCTTTTTTGTGCCATTTTCTCTAAAAATCCTCAGCACTTGCCCCGTCTTTGACGGAGGTTGATAAGTGTACGCCAACCGCCATGGCGCACGCCAATCTGCAGCTGGCGTGCAGATTGGCGTGCGCCATGGGGGGTTGGCGTGCGCTTATCAACCCCCCTCAAAGACGGGCAAGTGCTGAGGATTTTTAGAGAAAATGGCACAAAAAAGGTGAAGGCCTTTCTTGGGAGAGGTTCACGGAAAATGAGTGGTAGAACCAATAAGTTTTTTATTAGGGGGTATCAAATATAGGAAATCCACCATTGGAAACCAGTCACTTTTCCCAAAAAATATTTTTGCATCAAATGGCCCCAAAGGGGGTTAAATCACTCACCAACGTGTTTAAAAAAGGGTGGATTTTTTCAAACCAGTCGATTAAATAATGGTGGATTTGGTTATATTTGATACCCCCTATTCACTGTATTTAAGCTGACTTAAGTAGACTAAATACAAGTGACCAACATGTGGTTGGGAGAAAATGAATAAAAAGATGTTTTTGAATAAAAACTGAGAGGATTAAACAAATGAGTTCTTGAAAGAAATAACGTGACATGCCTTCTCAGTCTCTTTGAGTCATGCAAGAAAATTAATTAAGAGAAAACACAAGTTAAGCCACAAATACTGAGAGGCGTTAATTCTCAATAATCAGATTTTAAAGAATCAAATAGTGAACTAGAAAAAGAAAGGAATCAATCAGAAAGACAGGAGTTGTTGATAAAATTGCTATTGATAGTTCTATTTAGACTCCAAGAAGTGCATAAGATTCAACACAAAACCAGCAGTGAAAGACTACAATTCAGTCTAGATCAAGAAGATTCATGAAAGAAAAAGTAAGGTAAAAGAGGGAGTTTTTGGGAAGGAGTAGACCAGAGGAGTGAAAACCTCAGCAGCAGCTCACCCAGCTCAGCAGAAGCTTTGGCTTCAAGCCAAAGATGTTGCCTGTTTTTTCTTTGGCTTGAAGCCAAATAATTTAATTGACACAGGTGTGTATATTTGGGGTTGACCAAGATCCAAAACCATGACTCAACCTGGACTTCCTACTGTTACAAACCCAGGGAAGGTTTGAAACCCTTTTTTCTGGTTCTTCCCCAATCTGGCCTTCTGAAATATATACTTTCAGGGAAGTTTTGGAACATGTTTCTTTTGCCCAAACTTGGCCCATTTGGACCCTGCAATTATAAACATACAGGCTTTGTTAAGCTCACCTGTAGCAAGGTTCTGAAATCAAATCCCTCATACATTGGCTTCTTTCAAATTATTTGTGGTGGTTTTTCCAACAAATCAAAAGATATTGTGTGGAGTGGTGCTTGATCCGGTGGGTTTTTGCAGGTTTCAATTGCTCAGATGAAGTGGAAGTACTGGCGATTACCAATCATCTCTGAGGTTACAACTTTTTCTGAAGATGATCCTTCAGACTGTGGAGTGATTGGGGGTTCAAATACAAATCTGTTTTCATGTCCACAAGGTTCTGGTTTGCTATGTTGACATTGTTTGTTTTTGACTGTTACTGCTCTGCAACTTTCCCTTCTGCATTTGTAGTATTTCTTTGAACGTTGAAATTTACAGACCTCATTCCCTCCTAAGTATTCCCCACAATCATCACTTGCAGGACGTTCCCCTATGACAATGAGCTCATAAGCAATGTCACTACATGCCTCACATGCAATCTGGCTTCCAGGAATCACATAATGTGGGGTGAGGGCAATGAAAATCCCAAATATGATAGTAATGGGGTTCATTGTGGAGATAACTGGGGGGAAAGGAGTAGCTCCAAGTGTGGATTGAACCAGTGTTGCTCTTTTTTACAGAGCAGAATGTGGAGCAAGGATTTTCCAACCGTTTTGACTATGGAACGGGTGTCAGGAAGTAACCATAGGCTTTATTTATGTCAAAAGAAATTTCCAGTCTATCAGATGAAGGACAAACCAGTCAACTCAAAATAAAATAAAGTTTGAACAAAAAAAATAAGAATTGAATAAATGACCATCAAGAATCAAAGAAATCAAAGAGACGCCCAAGACCAACGTTCACTACAGTACCAGTGTTTGAAAATAAATTCAAAGAATGTATATGTAGTTATCATAAATTTTTGGACACAAAATCTTGTTCTATTAACCTTTAATTTTTAGCCAGATTTTATGACTTTGGGGAGAGATTTACTTCAGCTTTTGATTGATTGATTCAAGGATAAACATTTGGTTCAAAACTTTTCACATGCAAGTGAGCAAGTCAAAAAAAAAAAAAAGCTGGATGAAGAAAATGAGAAATAGCAAGTAATTAATGTTGAGTGAGCTGTCTTTCCTTAGTCTGCTTCCTCCCTGTTTCTCTCATGTCACAGTCTGTGAAACCTGTCTGTGTAGTTACCTCGGGCCAGCAAGGTGGATGAATGGTTTCCTCATCCTTCCATTCACCCATCATTGCTGGACCCAGGTAAGTCCTTTTGTCTTGTTGTTTCTTTTCTCTTCTTCTTTCTCTCAGTCTGTTTTAATTCTCTCTGATGAAATACCATCCTTCCATTCACCCATCATTGCTGGACCCAGTTGGCCGCAACAATTAAAAATGGCTATTTATGTTGGGATAGTGAACCCTGTATGTAGTAGTCATATGCTTATACTTAGATATGCTTCTAACAAGCTACTCACTATTACTCTCTACCAGTTTCTCACTCTCTCCCTCTCCTTTTTCCTCACTGAATATCATACATAAATTCACTGCCAAAGTCCCTTAGTGAGTCCCCGGTAGCTTCCTTGTTTCAGTCACCTGGGTGCCCCTCAACAGTTTATGAGACCCTTCTGGTCTCGCTCATCACTTATTCCATTTCTATTCACACTCCTCCTGGACTCTGTGTCGCTTTCGCCGCTGGATCTTCGCTCGACTTTCTACCTGACTAGAATCAAAACTTTTTGGTTACACTGTCAATCGATCATCTCAGCTTATTTGAACCATTGATACGCCATGGCATGCATTAGGCAAATCCAAAACGTGGCAAATCTTATCTCGACGATACAAGTATTGGACGGTACAGAGTCAGTCTTTCCCACCTGGCGATCTCGCCTTGACGATGTTCTTGGCTTTCAGAACACCCTCGACATTGTAAAGGGAACCCTCACTCGTCCTAAGGATCCTTCAAAGACTGAACCTGCTCCGGCTCGTTCTGTGGAATATACTAAAGGATACAATCCTAGCGAAGTCACTACGGATTGGGATGCCCTATTGGACCTGGCCTGCTATACGATTCGACTGACCCTTTCGAATCCACTAGCCCAGCGATATCGCAAGGTGAAGCCTGCCTCTCGTCTCTACTCGACAATCGTAAAGGCATATGAGAAAAACACTCGAGCTCGCCGAATGCGCCTTCAAGAGGCTTTTTGGAACGCTAGACACAATCCAAACGAAGTCATCGCGTTGTGGATCGGTCAAGTTTGAGTCGCCGCGGACGATTTACTTTCCATCGAGGAACTTCCGACTGATCGTCAGATTGCAGACAGACTCGTTGGCGGTCTCGATCCCTCCTGGTCCAACGTCCGCGACTCAATTGTCTACACAGCTACGGAGATGTCGCTTGACGACGTCATAGGAGCGCTAGAGGCCCACGAAGTCAGCTTGAATGGTACAAAGACAAACGACATAGTCGCCGCTGCCGCCACCACCAAGCGTTTTGGATGCTCTCACTGTGGGAAACACGGTCATTGCTCTTCTGATTGCTACCAACTAAAGAACAAAGGGAAAGCTAAAGCTGGAGCTGTCACCACGGTCAAATTAGGTGGTTACGATTCAGGGTCTTTCGACGATGAGGATGAAATCGGTGTAATCTATGAGTAACTGAATTAAGCTAGTTATCACATTCCTCTTCTCTGAGTACGCTGGAACTTTTCTTAGCCTACTGTATGGTAATTCCACTACAATTAGTATTTTTTTACTTCTTAGTAGTACAATTTCCATTTTTTTATCTCTACTTTAGTTCCACTTGATCTTAGGCTGAATCTATAGCTTGGTTATCAGCAAGGGGGGATGTTGGGATAGTGAACCCTGTATGTAGTAGTCATATGCTTATACTTAGATATGCTTCTAACAAGCTACTCACTATTACTCTCTACCGGTTTCTCACTCTCTCCCTCTCCTTTTTCCTCACTGAATATCATACATAAATTCACTGCCAAAGTCCCTTAGTGAGTCCCCGGTAGCTTCCTTGTTTCAGTCACCTGGGTGCCCCTCAACAATTTAAACAAGGATTATTCGGATTTTGATTAGGTTACAACTTCAACTATTGATAATTGAATAGTATGCTCAAAATTAAATATATTGATAATGTCTCTTGGGCAGAAGTTACACCAGGAAAAAAACAATGATCACTTGATGACAAGTGACATCAGCCTAAGTCCTGTATGCTACCCATTACGCACCCAGCTCAACTCTGTCTCAGCCCCCTGTAGCACACAAAGGCACCAATTTATTTGGGTTGCAGTGGAGCAGTCATCAATGTTAAATGATGTCACTCACCATCTAGTGATCCTTGATTTTTCCTGGTGTTATTTAAAAGAAAGTGAAAGGGTTACTCTGAAAAGCAAATTTAATAGGATTGGTTGTATTTTACTCATGCTTACATTCATAGAGTGTCAGCCTATGTTACACCAAGACAGGTGTCTTCTAGCTACACAAGGTGCAAAAAAAGAGTTTTTATGATAAAAACCCTGGGACAAAACAGGTACGGATAATTCAGAAGAATTACGTGGAATTTGTGGAGCAAATTCAAGGAATTTCAAGGTTAATTCTAGGGCCTTAATAAAAAAACACAGTTTTTCCGCAGTTTCTGCTGCGCGCAGCACATGTGGATTCCGTGTTTGAACTTGTTTTTTGCATTTTTTTTTGTATTAAATTTTTACACCTTATTTTTTAGGGCCTTGATAAAAAAAACAGTTTTGCTGCGGCACAGCGCACGCGGTTTCCACATTTTGACACGGTTTTTTATTTAAGTTATTTCCGCTTATTTTTCGAGTTTTTTTTTCAACTTTTAAAGTTGTTTCCTACACTTTATAAGGTGTAGAATTTCATGGTAAAAACCATTTTCCATAAAAATGAATTTTAATTATTATTTTTTTTTCACTCATTTCTCAATTAATTGTTTGCATACATGTTTGTACAGTGCCTAGACAGTAAAAAGTGGCTGCTTATTTTGGATTCCAGATCCCCAAATCACAAATTTGAAATCATGAGACTTGGTCAGGTGGTGCATAATAGGTCTCAAAAAATGAATATGAAAAAATAAAAGCAAAAAATAAAGTTTCAAAATTTGTGAAAAATAAAAAATAAAATTGATTTTTTACAAGGGGCTTGGAAAAACGACTCCCAAATTTTAGGCAACGACTCCCGTTTTGGTCGAGGGGTTGTCGGCGGGAGTCGTTCTTCCAATTCCCAAAAAAATAATTCACTACAAACAATACCAATTTTGCCCCAAGGAAAAATGGCAATTTGGATGGTGGAAAATAGATCAATTTTCTGGCACTTTTTTTACAAGATGCCTCAGGAGTAAAAAATTAGGCTAAAATGAGCTATTTTAGCCAAAAAATAAAAATGTCTCAAATCAGCTAAAAATTCATTTTGGAATGTTTGAGGATTTTCTATCTCTGGGCTAAAATAGCTCAGTTTAGCCTAATTTCTACTCCTGAGGCATTTTGGAAAAAATTTCCAGAAAATTGATCCATTTTCCCCCACCCAAATTGCCATTTATTTTTGGGGCAAAATGGGTATTGCTTGTAGTGTAAAGGGAGTCGTTGCCTTAATTTCACTGGAGATTTTTAATTTTTTTTATTAAAAAATATGGGAGTCGTCCACCTAAAAGGCGGGAGTTGGCACACTAATTCCACGAAATATTTCTACTTTTTTTTAAATTAAAAAATGCGGGAGTCGTCCAAATAAATATGGGAGTAGTCGCCATATAGCTTCCCTAGAGACTCAAAAAAAAGTTGAGCCACTGGGGCCCCAACCCAAAGGCACTCTATCAATGATAAAAAATTAGATTCAGTGAAAAAAACAATTGCAAGAAATAAAAGAAATGATTAAAGGGCAAAAAACATTCAAAATTGATCAGAAATGTAAGAAAAAAAAGGGCCTTAATAAAAAAACGCGGTTTTTCCGCGTTTTGACGCGGTTTTGATGCGCCGCAGCACACGCGGTTTCCGCGTTTTGACGCGGTTTTTTATTTAATTTATTACGGCTTATTTTTCGAGTTTTTTTGAATTTTTAAAATTGTTTCCTATGTTTTAAAGCGTGTAGAATTTAATGGTAAAAACCATTTTTCATAAAAATGACTTTTGATTATTAATTTTTTTTTTCCACTCATTTTTTCAATTAATTGTTTGCATACATGTTTTTACCTTATTTTTTATGCTTTTTTGAAATTTTAAATTTATTTCCTAGGTTTCAGTGTGTGTAGAATTCAATGGTACAATGCAAATTACATAAAAATCAATAGTTCATTCTTAATACTGAAATTAGACACATTTTTTCACATAAATTTCTACAGCTTAATTTTCATTCTTTTTTGACATTTTGAATTTTTTCCCTACACTTCAAGACATGTATAAAATGATGGTAACAACCATTTTACATAAAAATCAAAGGTCGTTATTGATTACTGTGTTGGACAGGTTTTTTTTGTGTTTTTTTAAATTGATTTTTACCAGCTTAATTTTGATCATTTTTTGAAATTTTAAATTTATTTCCTACATTGGAGGACTTCCCGTCGGGATTTAGACGCCAGTCTAAATTCTAAATTCTAAAATTCCTTGTCTAATTCCAAATTTCATCACCAAAAATTGGAAAATAGAAATAGGAAATAGGAAATAGCTGGGTTTCTAAACTGACGGGAAGTCCTCCATTTAAAAATGTGTAGAACTTAATGGTGAATTTAAATTTGCCTGAAAATAAAAGCTTCAATCTTAATACATGAGTGTACCCCGTTTCTTGCGTAATTTTTACCGTATACAAATTTTATTTGAATGCAAAATGAATACAGCCATCAAATCCAAAACCTTTCAAAGTGTAGGAAATGAACTTGAAATTCTATAAAATAAGGATTATTAAGTGTGTAAGAATTAATTAAAGAAACATGTCAAATGCAGTATTCAAGATATAGTTTTCATTTTGATCCAAAATGAGTTTTACCATCATTTTAACCATGTCTTAAAGTGTAGGAAAAAAATTTAAAATGTCAAAAAAGAATGAAAATTAACCTGTAGAAATTTAAGTGAAAAAATGTGTCTAATTTCAGTATTAAAAATGAACCATTGAGTTTTGAAAAATTTGGATTAAACCATTAAATTCTACACACATTGAAACCTAGGAAACAAATTTAAAATTTCAAAAAAGCATAAAAAATGAGGTAGAAACATGTATTGTGTTTTGAAGAATGCTTGGACGGATTCACAGGATCTTCACTTGAAAATCTTGGATTTTCATTATTTAAGTTTGAATTTTTATTTTATTTTTTCCCTCTCAAAGCCATGATGTCGTCATTGGCAATCACCTTTGTCACAACATCCTCCATTGGATTCACAATCGGCGAGCTGCCTCCGATTCACCCACTGTCAAATGGTCCAAAAATTGTCTCGATGGTGCAGTTTGAATACAACCCTCTCGGAAGAAGTAAACCATCATCATCAAGTTCCTACATCGCTAGCAAGTTCAGATGATCCACGAACTTATCTCACTGTTGTTTTAAATCCCGGTGAGTATTTTACAACCTTGAGACTACTCAGAACCAACGAGGTTTATAATTATCCCTTTATCTTGACCACTCTATATGCAGGCACAGGTTTTTCATTTCCACTTAACCAGTCCAATGCTCTCGATCTTGGTGTTATTCCTACTTTGCTTCTCATCAAATTCCATTACATCTAAATGTGTTTCCTATCATCCTTGTAACCCCAATTGTGTATGCCATTGTTGATCTTCAAGATCAATAGAAATCAAATCTAACACCCAATGCCAGCGTGGTGAGACAAGTACAAGCAACCTCAGAGTTGACTTGTTAATGAAATGCGAGCCATGTCAAGAGAGACCGCTCTCGATAAGACTGGAGTCTGAATGAGTTGTTACAAGAGCCCTATCGAGATCGATTCACATCTGTGGACTGTAGCTGAGAGGTTGCAACTTTGTGTTCACTAAGCTTCTTGAATAAAAGGTGCAAGTAAACGGTCCTGATCTCTTTCAAATATTGGTCATCTTGAGCTAGAGCTTAAGCTTGAGTAATGACAACCATTTTATTTTCAGTGGTTAACTTGGAGTTGTTTCAATATCATTTTCATTTCAAAATTTCATAGGGAAGAATACATAGTCTCCCTTTCTAGTTACAATTATTTGTTTTAATTCATTCAAGGATAAGTGGGTTAGAACACCCAAAACAGAAAAGAAATGCAGTTGACCGGAAATTTTTAGTACCTGATCAACAACGATTGATTAACTTTGTTTATGTGACATGTGTGTAATGACTACTGATAGGATAAGTCATCCAAATCAATCAATCCAGGCAAGTTAGTAAGCAACCAAAAAAGCGATATGTGGTGTTAGTGTCAGTGTAAACGAACCGGTGGTAAAGACAAAAACAAACAGAAGATAAAGAAGCCATCCATTAATATCCTTGAGGTAGACGGTACACAATACTCACCGTGTCTGTAAGCATATTAGCAAAGATCCATTGTCGTTACATCTGTGATTGTTTGTCTGGACTCTGATTGCCAAATCTGGCTGATCGGTCCGATTTGAGACTTGCAAGGCCAGTTGCTGTTTAGATTCTGCAAAGCTGAGTTCATCGGATCATGAGGAGATGTTAGCTCTCTTCGTATGACAAGACAACCGCTGAGAAATAAAAATACCAACCTTTGGATGGCCCAAAACTGGAGTCCTTCAAGGCCACAAAGATTGTGCAAACCTCGGCGTATGACTCGTAAGATTAAAAAGCTGTCTATTGAGATTTTCGTTGGGATTGATGCCTGGATAATTGGAGGGGATCGGGATTCGGTATCTGTGGTGGTGGTTGGCTAGGGTGCTGATGCCTGCTTGATCACAGCAAGGTGAATCAAACCAGAGCTGTGTGGCAGAAACCAGCAGCTTAAACTGCTGCACAGCAGCACAACGACATAACTTTATCGTTTGGAAAACTTCGGTTTGTCCAAGCTTTATTCAAAACACAATATGTAAACAATTAATTGAAAAAATGAGTGGAAAAAAAAATTAATAATCAAAAGTCATTTTTATGAAAAATGGTTTTTACCATTAAATTCTACACGCTTTAAAACATAGGAAACAATTTTAAAAATTCAAAAAAACTCGAAAAATAAGCCATAATAAATTAAATAAAAAACCGCGTCAAAACGCGGAAACCGCGTGTGCTGCGGCGCATCAAAACCGCGTCAAAACGCGGAAAAACCGCGTTTTTTTATTAAGGCCCAAAAAAAAAGGGTAAAAAAGGACATAGAGGAAAAAAATCAAAAACTAAAAAAGACACAGGAAAAAAACCCTAGTAGTGGGTCATTGGATTTTCAATTTTCCTCTCTAAAGTCAATTGGAAATAATCAGAAAATTTGGCTTCCCATCCCCAAGCCTCTTTTGAGGCCTTTTCTTTCCAATCCTTCATGAGCTGAGGGGAAGCAAAAAGCCTTGGGTTATGTAACTGCAAGGGGAAAAAATGAGAAAAATTGGATAGAAAAGCAATAAAAATTGGGGTTTTGTCATTGAACTTGAAGGTCGATTTGGGTGAGTGGATATGGGTCGGTTGTGGGTATGTGGGTTAGGGTTGAAAACTCCTGCATGGGAGAAGAAAAAATTTTTCTTCTCCCAAGCCGGCTCCTAGGGATTGGTCTGACAACTCCCGCAAGACAAAAAAACAGCCAAGTTGTCACTTTGGGAAATTGGGCCATTAACTCCTGTTTTGTCAGGTGAGGATAGCCTGACAACTCCCAATGAAAAAAAAAGAATAACCCCAAAAAAAGATGAGAATTGGGAGCGACGACTCCCAAATATTAGGCAGACGACTCCCAAAAAAAAATGTATTTAAAAATGGGTGGACGACTCCCACTAAAAAAATTCATATTGGTCCGACGACTCCCCGGACCAAGCCCTGGGTCCAGAGTTGGTCCAGGGGTGGTCCGCAGACGGTCCTCTTGACGTCAACAACCAAATGGGAGTCGTTGCCTAAAATTTAGGAGTTGTTTTTCCAAGCCCCTTTTACAAAAGCTTTGATATTCATTTTGGGGGAGTGGCAGTGCTGAGAGAAAGAAAGATTGGGAAATGAGAAGAATGATTATAAATGAAAATTTTGGAAAAACTGGTTTTCAGATGGCTTCAAACAGCTGTTGAGTGGGGCATTCACCAGCCCACATTGCAGCAAAGCACTAGAATTTACTGTTTTGGCTCCAATCTGGACCACCAACCTTGTCAGCTCTGGTCTCTTATGTGACCAAGAGTTGAAGGGATAAAGGGTCACACTATAGCCTAAGAGTGGCCAGTGGAAATAAGTCCAACTCAACACTGATACAGTGGAGGGACTAGCTCCTTATAAGAATAAGGGACAGCTGTGGAATGAGCCTCACAGTGCCTGAGCTTAAGAGAATAAGAAGAATAGAGTTGTACTAGTCTTATAAGTTAATAAGGTAACTTATAAAGACTAGTAATGAGATAAAGGAAAAAGGTACAACAAGTTTATGTAGATAATATATTACTAAAAAACCCCACTCACTAAGTATATGTTTTTTAGTAAGGTTGTTGGGTTGGTATGGTAATATTGTCTGGGGGATGAATCTCAGGGGGAGAGCCATCCTCTTAAATATTACAGAGCAGGGTTCAAACTGCTGCTGGGACCGGTGCAGTCCCCTTATTGGTACACTTTTCCTTGGGGGAAAGTGTCAGGATATTCAGAGCATGCTAAATGTACATGTGCTGAATATCCTTTATTTCAGAAAATACCATAAGAGAGATAAACATAATAATCATACACCACAAGAGAGGTAAATAGGATAATCATCTCTTGGATACACCCAGGAGATGATTATCCTTTTCAACTTGATTATAATTTTCATGGAAGGGGTAAATTAATAAAGAGGTGAATCTTTATTAATTTACAGAATAATTATTTACATAAAAAATACATGTAAAAAAGGATAACATTACTTTATAATTATTAACTTAAAGTATAATAATAATTGTTATGTAACCCAAGGGGGTTACATTCTATTGTAGACACCTGGGCTAGTGTCTCAGTGTCTGACAAACCTGGATAAACCTTTTTTGGTTCCAATTTTTTTCATTTATAATAATTCTTCCCACTTTCCATCCTTTCTTCCTCTCAGCAGTTCCACTCCCCCAAAATGAATATCAAAGCTTTTGAAAAAGATCAAGTTTATTTTTTATTTTTCACAAATTTTGAAACTTTATTTTTTGCTTTTATTATTTCATATTCATTTTTTGGGAGCTATTAAGCACCACCTGACCGAGTGTCATGACTTCAAGTTTGTGTTTCAGAGCTCTGGAATCCAAAATAAGCTGCCACTTTTCACTGTCTACCCACTGTACCTTATTTTTTTATGTTTTTTTGAAAATTTCAAATTTATTTCCTACATTATAAAGTGTGTAGAATTTTATGGTGTGATCCAATATTCATAAAAATGAATGGTTCATTTTTAATAATGCAATTAGACCCTTTTTTCACTTAAATTTTTACAGCTTAATTTTCATTATGTTTTCACATTTTAAATTTATTTCCTACACTTTGAGACATGCTGAAAGATATTGTGAAATTCATTTTGCATAAAAATGGAAGGTTGTTTGTGAATATTGCATTGGACAGGTTTTTTTAAGGCATTAATAAAAAAACACAGTTTTTCCGCATTTACACACGGTTTTGCTGCGGCACAGCACACGCGGATTCCGTGTTTACACACGGTTTTTTAATTAATTTTTTGCAGCTTATTTTTCAAGTTTTTTTGAATTTTTGAAATTGTTTCCTATTTTTTAAAGGGTGTAGAATTTAATGGTAGAAACCATTTTCCATAAAAATGAGTTTTAATTATTATTATTTTTCACTCATTTCTCAATTAATTGTTTGCATACATGTTTGTACCTTATTTTTTATGTTTTTTTGAAATTTTAAATTTGTTTCCTAAGTTTTAATACGTTTAAAATTTAATTGTAATGTCCAATTTTTATAAAAATGGATGATTCATTTTTTATAGGGCCTTAATAAAAAAACCCGCATTTTCCGTGTTTTGACGCGGTTTTACTGCGGCACTGTCAGCCTCTGGGTAACTAACCTGAGTATTTAATAGTAAAAAGGTTGTTACTATGAGTTGACTGAAGTTTTTGAGCGTGGTGAGTGTTAGGTAGTGGGTGATTAATACCAGTCCTGTAAAGAGGAGGTTTCACTCTATCAGTATGGTCTTTACTGAGAGGCTTGCTATCAACAGCGCATCCGGATCAATACAAGGTATTAATAGGCATCCAGGGTACTAAGACTCACCTGGGATTGATTTGGTTATTCCCCAAAGGGAATGGGCTAACAATACTTATTAAGCTTTAACAAAATTAGTTGAAGATTAACAGGTATTGTTGATGGGAATATTCAGCAAGGCTATGAATACTGTGGATAAGTTGAGTAAGAGTACTGAAGCTTAAGAACAATAAATGTAGACAAGATTTATGTTGGTTACGGGTACTGTATCAATATAAATGTTAACTGGTTTAACTGGTGTCTGAATATTCTGGGGATTAATCAGTGGAAGTGGCACTGATTATAAGTTTCAGAATTCTGAAGGGGGGAAAGAATGAGCGCTCGATCAAGGAGCTTGACAGAGAATGAGCCATCATGATGACTGATCATATTGTCATGATCGTAGTGACATCATATG